ACCAAAAGAAAAGAATGGGAAGAAATATTGACACTTAAGAGTTTAAGAGATGCTAATAGCACTCACCCTTTTACTTAAGATCCCTCGCTTTTTTGAACCTCATCCACCGAAATTGATCCTCCCACCTTTTCTTTTAACCTCACCATAATCCCAAAGTTACCCCCTTTTTGGAGCCCCACCCTAGCCACCTACTTTCCTCTAACAGTCTTTTCGCTCCTATCAATCCCTTTCTTCTGACAACCTCCCTCCCCATCACCCCACCTCTAGCCGCCTCCGCCACTACCATCTCTGACGATCCCCCTAGGCTCTCCTTCACCCTCCTCAACAACTCCCCACCCTCTCCCACCACCCACCTTCTACATTAGCCCCTCATCTACCCCCTGTTGCCCCTAACCCTCGCATAACCCACCCCCCACAGCTTTCCATCACGTGAGCAACGTGAGATCAACGGTGAAAGACATGAAAGAAAGAGATGTGAGATCGATGGTGAGTGATGAAAAATCAAAAGAAACTAACGAACAAAAAGAAAACGAAAAGAGGGCTAGCTATAGGAGGTGGCAGAGAGGGGGGCAAGGGAGGATCACCGGAGAAGGCAGTGACAGTAGCTAATGAAAGTGAGAGTAGAGGTAGGGTTAAGACTTGAGAGGATAATGAGGGTAAAAAATAAATTTTATATTAAAATAAATTATAATAAAAAAAATGAAACGGGCAGGAGTCTCAAGAAGAAAGATAGAAGCATTTAACAGCACTACAATAGTTTACAAACAAAACTGCTCTCTACTCACATGGAGAGTTCAACCCACCCACACCATTGCATGATGTGGGCCTTACTCTCAATATAAATAAGTAGTTTAATACATAAATTAAGAAGTGCCCTCAGAAATGTTGTAAAGTTGCTTATAAATGTTTTTTTTAAAAAAAATCAGATGAAAAAATATATTTTAAAAAAAATGTAATTAAGATGTATTTTTATGCATAATAACATGAACCGTTCTTTATAATGGATTTTGAATGATGTAGTTTCCATTCTATCCTAATCCACTAAGATCTGATATAATAGTAGCATTGATGACAGTAGAATGGACAATTTCCCCCTGGCTGCATTTCCATTAGGCTCTGGTTGGATCGCAGGTGAGAAAAGAAAGAAAGGGGAAAAAAAAAATTTATTGTAATTTTTTATTTTGTGAGAAAAAAGAGGTAAGTATGCTTTTAATCTATATAATTTGATTCAAATTTTACTTTATTTTCTTTAATTTTAATTTGGATAATTTAATCCATACACTTTAAGTTTAGTTTCAATTTGATCATTCTGTTCAATTTAGATGTTAAAGTTAATAATTGTGGAACACTTATCAATTTCGTAAAATGTATACGCACAAAAAATACAAAAAATTGGAAGAAAGCATCAAATTAAAGCTAGATTTAAAATGTAGAGATAAAATTATATAAAATGAAATAATATGGATCAAAATGAAATTTAGATCAAATTATAAACATTAAAAAGGTAATTTATCTCGAAAAATGATCGTGATTTACAAATAAATAAATAAATAAAAGACACATGATCCTAATAAAATTTCTGATTATTATATGTGGAATATGAAAGGAATTGCAAGATCTTCAGAGGCATTCATAGGCCTCCAAGCCAACTGCTTCACTCTATTAAATACGAAGGATATTAAATATGAAGATTGAGGTTTTCTCATATTCACACTTTAACATAAAAGAATTTGAGGACTCTATAAGGTTCATTGTGGGTCTCATCTCAGTGATTTAAGCGTTCATTTTATAAGATTTTTAATATATATCATTCACAAAAAAAATTAATTTGATCTGATAAGCATAACCTTTTTCATTTTAACACATTTCTTTCTGAAAAAATGAATGGCAAATATATTTTGAAAATACAACATACATTTTTTTTTATAAACAAACACGATAAAATGAAAATGTTACCATTATCATATTGACTTAATTTTTTTTATAAATAATTTACATTGAAGGTCTTACAAAATAAATGATTTAAATCATCAAAACGAGACCATTGTGAGCTCCACAGCCCCCTTAAGTCCTCTCATGTTCATATTAAGGGCCAGAAATGCTTGAGAGCTCGAAACATGTTTGGTAAAATACATTTGAAAACATGTTTGGTAATCAGGGAGTTTCCGAATTTTTGGATTTACCCGGTCGTCCATCTGGACATCCTCTCGGATAGTTTTTGAATTTTTAGGTATACCCGGTTGTCCGCTTGGACATCTTCTCGGACAATTTTTGAATTTTTGGGTCTACTTGGCCGTTCACCCAAACATCCTCTCAAACGTCTGGCCGGTTGACTGGAACAGTGTTATTTATTTATTTATTTTTGTGCAATTGCCACCTGTTGTTTGAAAAATATATATATTTGTTTTTGTTATTTTTTAAATATAGAAACTATTTTTTGACTAAAATGACAAATTATTTGGCCATTTATTTAAAATGAACAAAAAAAATTTAAATAAAAATTAATTTGTCACAGTAATTTTTAAAAAATAAAAAAAAAATTAAACAAAGCAATTAAAAAAAATTCCAATCAAAAGTAATTTTAAAGCACTAGCTAAATATTTTTTTTAACAAAAAATAATATATATTTTTTGATATTTTAAATAAAAAATATTTTTGGAATTTTTTAAATAATTTTTTTTCAATAATTATTTTTTTGAATTGAAATTTAAAAAGAATTTGGTTATGAGTTTTAAATAGAATTTTCAATAGAGTTTTGAGTTGTGTGTTTGGTTATGAGTTATAAATTTTGAAAACTCTTTTCAAAACTCACAACAAAATAAGTTTTCTTATTTCAAAAATTCAAAACTCAATTCAAAATTCAATTCAAAACTTTTTTTCATAACTCATAGCGAAATAAATTTCTTTTTTTCAAATCATGATTCAACAACTCACGAACTCAAAATACAATTTCATTATCAAATCATGATTCTAAAATTAAATCAAACGCTACTTATATTTTTTATTTATAAAGTGTTAATTGTAAGCTAGAGTCTGCAAAGAATATAACAATGTAGCAGTTAGTTACTCGATCACGTTAGTGGAAATTGATATTATAATATCTATTCTATTTTTAAAAAATTTATTTGTATATATATATTTGCCTCCTATGTAAAAATCTTGAGTTCGTCCCTAGCTGGACCCCTTCAAATTCAGTCCTGGACTCTGGTTGTGAAAACCAAACCTAACTTGAGCCTTTATTTGTTTTACAACTTCAAATCTTGGCCAACCTGACCCAACTAATGTGTCCTTTTTTTCTTTTTTTCTTTTTTCTTTTTTTTTGGGATAAATGAGTAATTTATTAAGCAAACAAAAAGAATAAAATAATCATGTGGATCAAAATTCCAATTACAAGGGAGAAAAAAATAAAAATAAAAAAGATTTAAGGGGATAAATATGTGGGATAATGATGATTTAATCACGAGGGATGAGCCAACTGTTACAATAGTAAGAAGAAGTAGCAATGGAGTGAGACTGTGAGTCTTTAATCAATCCCGTTAAGTAGCTCGAATTTTCCATGACTAGAGTGACCCGAAATCCCAAAACGACGTCGTTTTGGCTCTTTTTTTCTTTTTCTTTTTTTTTTTTTTTTTTTTTTTTTTCCTTTCCGACTCAACACAGCATCATCACAGAAGAGAAGAAAGAAAGAAAGAAGAAGAAGAAGACAGAAAAGAAGAAAGAAGAAGAAGAAGAAGAAGAAAAAGAAAGAAGAAGACAACATCATCATCAACACAGCACCATCATCATCAACACATCATCATCAACAAATCAAACCCACACACACAGAGATCTGAAAAATAAAAAATAGATCTGGAAGCCAAATCGATGAAACACACACACACACGGTGGCAACGGAGTGGAAGAGGAAGCGGCAGCGGCGGCGGCGATGGAGTGGAAGAGGAAGATCTATTTCATTTCTCCTTCCGTTTCTTCCTCTCTCTTTTTCTTCTCTCTTCTCTCCTCTCTCTTCTCTCTTCTCTCTCTCTCCCTCCCTCACTCTGTTTTGTTTCACAGATAAAAGAAAAAAAAAAATTCAAAACGACGTTGTTTTAATTTCGAAACATTCGAGCCTCAGGAGTTTCGAGCTCTCAAGCATTTCTGTTTGAAATGTGATTCGAAATCATATTTTAAAAACTATAATCAAACAAAGGGTTAGAATATAATGGGGAAATCATGATTACAGAATAGAACCAATTAGAGCCATAATTTCTTTTATTATATAGTGTCTTTTTTTTCTTTTTTTTTTTGAATTTTATATTTTGATCACATGTTTTATAGATAGAGAGTGATAGTTATTTATTATTATATTTTTTTAATCTTGAGAGAATGACCCTTAAAATTTGTAAAAGAAGAAAAACTTCCCACATCTATAATTTGTAAATAGTTACAATTAATATTATTATTATAAATTGTGTTTTTGAAATCGTAGAGAGCACTATGGCACCCTTTTGCCCCCTCTATCCAGAGGTCCATCCTTGGCTAATATTATGTTGTCATCTATTGTGTTGGTCTTGTTTTTGGGTCTAGTACAATGAGCCTGATTGGAATTTGAGAGAACCCTTTCTTTTCTTTGTTCTTGTTGTATGGAAAAAATATTTTTGAAAAATATATATAATTCAACTATTTACACTTCCAACATCATATTTTAATATAAACTAATACAAATAAACTAGAAATAAATCAGAACACACAAACAAACGTAAAAAATATATCAATCATTTATCACTTTGATAAATTTATCAGTATCATTACCAGTACAAAATGATCATTCCACAAAAATTAAAACAATGGACAAATACGTTTTAAAAAAAAATAATAAATAAATAAATAACTTACTCATGACTAATGAGTGAAAGTCCAGTCAAAAGGACTTGCCTGTAATTATCCATTCTTTTTGGGATGAAGTGGGAGAAGTGGTGAAGACATAGGATGGCAAACACAAAATTCACTATTGTTAGGGCTTTTGTAAGGTTCGATCTGCAAACAATGGTAGTTTTGATCCGAATGCTGAATGTAAATTTTGAATTTACTATTAATACATTGAATGAATAGGAATGGAAGCTCTGTAAACATGATACATTTTCAATTAGACTTACACAAGAACACAACAATAATAATGAGACCTTTGCAACACTTATATGATGAAAATCAACAACACTGCTCAAAACAGCCAAAAAAGAATAGCAAAACAGAATAGGCAGATCATGAAAAACAAAAGATTGCTTTAGTATCCATTTACCCGTTTTATGCGGATCCAAATTCTGAAAACCACTTCTCGTGCCGTTCAATATCAGCTGCGGAAACGCTAGGTTGAACCTTGGTCAGGGCCTCTTCAAAATCGCACATGGCAACCGGGTCATTTGAAATCTCATCCTTTGACATGTTTTTAATCTCATCGCGTGTCTTCCCGGCTATCTTACGCCTCATGCCGTTTAAAGAGGCATCCCGACAAACATTTGTGAGATCATCTCCACTGTATCCCTCTGTCCGACGAGCCACGTCATCGATATCTACATCAGGAGCCATCTAATATAAACAACATTCAACTAGTTAAAAAAGTATCCAACAAACATTAAGCGGGTAAATATTAGTTGATCTAATGCTTTACATCATTTTTATATACCATGTGATGAAGAACAAAATAGGACGAAGAGAGAGAAAATTCACAAATGGCCACCGCCTAAAATACTCTCAATGATATTAACTCAAAGCTGAATATATTACAATGCCAAAGACGTAATATTCATAGGTCAAACCTCAATTAGATTAGGGAACTGGCTCCCAACATTACTGGAAACAAAATTAAAATTACCTTGCTAATATTTATTTTAAACACCAACTAAAAAATAATATCATCAAAAACTAATCAGACCCCACAAGTTTCACCCTCGAGTTTCCAAATCTGACAATGGGCTTCTAGCCAAATTATTGCTACACCATCAACATGTAGGTTCTCAAAAAGTTAAGAAAATGCATAAATGTATAATCACAAAAAACTGCAGAGTATTTTTTCTCAAGAAACATTGGTATAGTAAAATAATCACAAGGTGATAGTGGGTTGACAAGGTAATATAATTAGGAGGTCTGACTGTAATTTTTTCATATAAAATGTTTTTTCAGGGGGTCTGATTTTAATTCCTGCCCAACTCAATCTGCCGTGTTATTCAAAAGGTTTAATTGTAAGCTGCTCACAAATAGCATAAAGATTCATGTCCTCATCTTCAATTTTCATCCACATCTCAATGGGTGGGACATTGTTTGGTGCAATAAGTAAAAGCCCAAGACTGCCAAGCATGAGAATGTGGGCTTTAAGTCTGGGAGCAGCAACTTTGCACCAAAAGTTAGGTCTGTCTCCTAGTCTCAGCCTCAAAACACCCTCAATTAATGGGGACCAATACTAAGTAATATCATTTATCTCAATAATTTGCTTTGTTCCCCAAATCCAGCAGCTCAAAGTTACCCCTCAGTTTCAACAAAAAGTTGCATTCCAACTGCTACAACCAATTTCAATGAGGTTTTTCTGCTCTTTCTAATGGAACGAGATTAATCTTTTCCCAAGAAATATAAGCCATAAGAGTAATTTCTGAAACCGTCCCACCTTTCTGTGGAACTCTCAAGACTGCATCAACACCAGTTTGTATGTTATAAATCTCCACATTCGTGGTCAAGGGTGCATTTCTAGCATTCCACATCTCTTGCACCTTACTTCAGTGGCTTACAGCTTACAACTTATTTCATGCTTTATTTTTTTTATTCTTTCTCATGCATTAACAGCATTACCTTTTTTACATACCAAGAAATTAAATTATTTCATATATTAGTACAACAAATAGCCCGAAAAGCCTATTTTCTTAGATTCTCTCCCCAATCAGGGGGGTTTTTCCTTTAACCAAAATTTTTTTTTAACTTTTTTGAGAAATTATTTTTAGCCAAACATATCTGTCAACCAAAACCCCAACTTCAAATTAAGCTGAAACACAAATACCAAACACTCTTTTTGGACCTTCAATGATGCATAATGTATCAGCATAAAAGGCCTTCAGATATCGTCCAGAGAGCAAGTTCAGAATCTCAATGATTTAGCATGAACTTAAATCATAATATCTACTGCACGTACAGTAAGAGACAGGACATTGTGCTTTGTACCACGAAATCAACAGTATCAACATGAATCCTCCAACCAATAAAATACTTTGATTTATTGCTGTTTATATCATGCATTTAAACCTTCTGGAATTACCATCATAATTGTTTTTTACTCTACAGCATAGAAGTAAGAGCATAAATCAACTGTGCATATACTGTCCAAGGTTATTATTTTGGGGAAATTACAAATCAATAGACATTGCAAAAAATAATAACAGATTCACGGAAAAGTTTAAAATTTTAATTATTAATATTTATAAAGTTTATCACTGATTTGTAATTATTTTTTGGAATGTCCACTGATTTGATACTTACCTCATTATTTTATCGGCTAGAAATCATGGAAAGAAAATAATCTATCCAATTAAAATTCTAGTTATCCCATGAGCAGAAAACCATAGTAGTTTTATAGGTAATCTTGTAGTCAAAGCCCCTTTTTTTCCAGTAGCATGACTTACTCAGCCAGTACTTACTGAGATATCACAAACTAAAATTCAAAAAGCATTATTAAACTTTGTGTACAATATATATCTAGCAATCTAACAGAAAAGCCACTTTACCTCAACAGTTCTCAAATTAATTCGAATAAGTTCCTTACGGCTTTCAAAATTCGGAAGTGGTATATATATTCGCTTTTCCAGCCTCCTCCTGTATTAGGTCAACACAAAATCAGATCAAGCAGCACGTCAGCTCATCAGGAATTTGTATTAGTTAAATCTAGTTGACAATTGCAAGTATAAGAGATCCAACCTCAGTGCCTCATCTATATCCCATGGAAAATTAGTAGCAGCCAAAACCATCACTATTTTGCGACTACCATCTTCATTAGTGGAAGTATTATTCACACCATCTACCTGAACTAGAAGTTCAGACTTCACTCTTCTGGATGATTCATGCTCCCCTGAAGCCCTGAAAAGTGAGGTCATTCACATAAGAGCAGCAGAGCAGGGTTCAGTGTAAAACGTACAAGAGTCATAAATCAGTTGTAACACATGCAAGGGCACAACATTTCTCGTGTTTGTGATCATAATGATGATGATGTCCACATCAAAAAACAATATAAGCCAAAGTCTATAAAATATAGATAAGCATGATCTACATATTGCATAATACTGAACAGTGGGGACACTGCAAGAGTGATAACTGTGGAAATCCAGTTCACAAAGAATGAAGACTTACCCCCGAGCATTGCAGAGAGAATCAATTTCATCAATGAATATTGTACTTGGAGCATAAGCTCTTGCAAGATCAAACAAACACCGCACCATACGCTCACTCTCCCCACGCCATTTTGAAGCCAAAGTAGCAGAAGAAACATTGAAGAATGTTGTACCACACTCAGTAGCAACAGCTTTAGCCAAAAGTGTCTTTCCAGTGCCAGGAGGGCCAAACATAAGAACGCCTTTCCATGGTCGCCTAATTCCCTGCAAATACAAACAAATTTTATCTAACTGGACCAACTGTACCCAAACATATGGAGAACCACACAAAACAAAACTTATGTTCGCAGCAAGAAAAACTACACTGCGCCAGGTGATGGCAGACTGCAGCATCTGAACCAATTTTGAAGATTTAGACTGTACATGGCAGGATTAACTACACGCTCCCACTCAATACAACTCTTTTGGCTCTTGGGCTCCTTTGTACTTTTGGCTCTTGAGAGTTCGAATTCTTAAAAACTACGATTCTAAAGAGTAAGATTACCATTGCTCAAGTAATAGGGAATCTAAAAAGTACTAACTTCAATGCCGCAATTTCTATCGAAATCCACCATTTTTTTTATATAAATAAATCAGATAATACCATTTTTCTATCGAAGTCAACCATATTTTATGAAAACAACTAAACCTCTGCGCATAATCTAGCTTTATAAAATAAAATTTACATTTTGATCACAACGTTCAAGTCTTTTAGATTGCCAAAATGACCTTTTAATGCCAAGCAACAATTTTTGGTAAAAACGCTTTCAAATATCAAATTTTATCTCAGGTTAAGTTTGCAGCAAAAATCAAAGTTAGAATAGATAATTCACAATTCTCACCAGGTTACTGTTGATGGAATGGAATTGCCAATTTTTGGCTATCTAGGTGTGTGTTAGAACTCCTGTCCTGTGTTTCGTGGGGAATTGGAGTGCCTATAGAAATAGCAGTTCCTAAGAAATTTAGAAAAGGATAAACTATTTTTTGATAATTCCGTGGGATTAGAATTCTCAGCCTGGATTCCCATGCAAAAACAGGTCCTTCATGCAAAATCAAAACCATAGCTGAGAAGGATGTTACAGAGTTGGAGCTAATCAGACTAGTGTGTTCGTAAAAACACCTAGATTGTGTTTGGTTCGGGGATAGGATAAGGAGGGATAAGTAACCGAGGAGAACTTATATTATACTTAGGGGAGGGTATCCTAGTCATTTATGATGAAATGTGACATAAAAGGGCTCCTGCCTGCCACAAAGGCTTTCATCTTTGGAAAAGCCCATTTTGAAAGAAGACTGCATTGACAACTTGCTTTCACTTTTATACTGCCAAACTAACCCTCCCACTATAGCATGATGAACCAAACTTCTCTGGAATTTTAATGCATATAGTAGTTGGGATCACTTAAATCTTCCAACATAATATAATTCTCAGACATTATGGAAGAGGAGAAAAAGGGAAAGCATGAAGCTGTTCTCAGTGAGGGGAACTTGAAACACCACCCCAAGCATAAGTCTTGAATAATATTATTGAAACAAAGAGAAATTCAATCAGATTCATGAAACCGCAATCATATTTCAACTTCACAGCAATACGAAATACCTGGAAATATTCAGGCATCCACAGAGGAAGAACAACAGCTTCCTCTAGAAGTCTTTTTGCTTCAGTCAACCCAGCCACATCATCCCACCTCACTCCAGGGGTGGAATCCAAGACATCCCTTTCAAGCATATCAGCCAAGTCATGATCAGGCCCCTCATACTGTCCACGTTTGGACTTCCCATCTTCAGCATCACCATTCTACATTGCAACCAAAATCACTAATTTTAGCTCAGACGACCAAAAATAATAATTGAAATACAGAATATGCGTACTTAAATCTAAATAATCCAAAAATACAGGACTCCAAATGTGTACCAATTGAAGTCTCCCGAGAACTTTAAAGAAGTTAAAATATAATGATGGCAAGTCGACCCCCAAAAAATAAGACCAACAAATACCCAACAAAGAAAATTTGAGATACATGCCCCAATCTACGAGATCCATAAACAATATCTCCAGAATGTCAGAAAAATACCCTTGTTTTAACTTCACTTTTGGTGTCAGAATAGAAGAATATCAAAGTGGAAAAACAAACTTGCAAGCATTATCTATTTCCCAAGTAATAGGCAAAACCCTTTGTCTGACTTCAGCATGTATCTTGACAACTACATATCCTACATTGATACCTCCAATTTTCCAAATATATTCATGCACACTGCCACGGTGCTACCACAAGATCAACCAGCAAATGTGTTGAGACAATGAACATTTAAAAACAACATATTCATATTAACAATTCCAAGGACCTAGTTTCCAAAACTTCCTTAAGAAACTTACTTTAGTGAAGTTCACTATAAATTTCACCTTTTAAGACTTTAAATTTTTTTATGGTTCTTATGATCAGGACTCAGTTTGATGCTGAAACTAAAAAACTTCTGATACTTTGGTGTCTAAAGTAGCAATACTAAACCACTAGTCACAATGAGCGAAGTAACACAAATACAGTATGTTATCTTCAAGGAAATGACTAGAAACAAAAACTTTAACAAGAAATCCTCTCATCCCAAATGCCATCGCAGTGACATTTTATTTTTATTTTTTTGGATACAATGGGCCAGTGATATTTTTAGTAATATACACTTACGATCCTTTGGTCAATATGATAAAACCAATTCTCCATGTCACTCTTATGTGAATTTCAGGCTATGAACTCCATTTGTCCAATTTTTATCTAATAAAAAGAAAAAGAAAAAAAAAGGCAACCAAGTGCACACAAGACAAGCTAAAGTGGGTCTAGGGAGGACAGAATGTAGCCATCCTTACCCCCATTTGTACAGTTTAAAAAAATAAAATAAAATAAAGATGTTTTAGAATTTACATCGCATGATATTCAAAAAAGAACTACTGAAGCTACTCATATGATGGCAAAATTACCTTCCTCAAATTCAGCTAGTTCAACAAGATTATGCACTTGACATTCCCATCCACAGACAGACGTGGTGAATAGGATTATGCTCTAGGCGATAAAAGATAAAAATGTAAAACTATGTGCATGGCTGCAAAACACCAAGTATACAGGAATTGTTGCACAAATTATTTTTCCAGGTAGAACTTACCACCGAATCAGCCTTGCCAGATTTCCCTGGGCCAGTGCCTTTCTTCCCAACAGTTGAAGCTCGGACTCCTGCGTTTGACCTACTAGAACCACCAGCCTTTGCTCCGCGACCAGTCGTTCCAGCTCTTGCAGAACCTCCACGAGCCCAACTTCCATCTTGAGGTGACTTCCTCATACCCACTTGACCTGCCCTTGTGGGTCTTCTACTTCCATTGTCTCTACTAGGCGGCCTCCATACATCAGGATCATCCATCGAAGCACCAGATGAAGTTGGGTACTCGTCTAATGGTTGAAAAACAAATGACGATTTGGTAGAAATTGGAGGTGAAGAAGGTCTTCTACCCACGTGAATCTCCTTGAAAGCCCTTCTCTCTGCATCCAATTGCTTCACAACCTCCGTTTCTTCTGTAAGAGCTTTCTTTACATTCATCCATTTTGAACGGATTAAAGGCTCATCAAGTGTGTTTAAATGCCTAAAGAAAGGGAGAGGAGAAAAAAAAAACAAAGCATTACCAAATGAACTTAAGCACAAGACACTAAAACAAAAGACACCCAGAAATGCAACATAGCATCACCAATACAATAGGATTGGTTACCAACACAAAAAAAATCCAAACAAGCTTACTTTTAACCAAGGTTTTTTTTTTTTTTTTGGCCAAGATGATAGGATGTTAGTTTATTAGTAAAGTTAGATTATAACGCCATTGCTCCATCAGCTCGAACCCCTAACCTTCATCTCACCACACCCTAAGGTGTGACTACAAGACCACTAGGCCAAACCCAAAGTCTTACTTTTAACCAAGTTATGATGTTGGATATGTTATCAAGAAGCTTGGAGAAATTTATCATGTACATTAAGGAGGCCTTTGTTTCATGGGATTGGACTCCATGTCCAATAGATTAACTAGTCCATAGTTTGGTTAGAAAAATGGAGATCGGACAAATAGTTAAATACACATGGGTGTGTTTGGTTTGTGTTTTGAGATAAATTTTTTAAAAAAAAAAATTGGGGAGAGAGTTTAGATATTTTTTTGGTTTGTTTGATTGTATATTTTGAAAATAATTTTAGAGTTTGGGATGATTTGATATTTTGTTGTAGTTGAGTAGATGTATGTGAGAATAAGGCCAAGTTTGGCATGAAGCCATAAAGCCAAAAAGCCAAAAAATTACTCAAAAAGTTAAAAAGTTATCACTATTCATCAAAAGTCAAAAAATACGGCTGCACAACTCTCAATCCTATTTAAAAAAATTGGGGAGAGAGTTTAGATATTTTTTTGGTTTGTTTGGTTGTATATTTTGAAAATAGTTTTAGAGTTTGGGATGATTTGATATTTTGTTGTAGTTGAGTAGATGTATGTGAGAATAAGGCCAAGTTTGGCATGAAGCCATAAAGCCAAAAAGTCAAAAAATTACTCAAAAAGTTAAAAAGTTATCACTATTCATTAAAAGTCAAAAAGTACGGCTGCACAACTCTCAATCCTAATTTTCCCCTACACACTAATTTATACAATTTTTTAATATATATTTTTCCATAAAAAGTCAAAAAGTTAACCCAAACAACCATATTTTTTTTCTCAACTTTTTAGTTCAAAAAGTCAAAAAGTACACTTATTTAAGACATCTCAAACAATCCTTAAAAGTGATTGAGAATGAGAGAGGAGATAAAAAAAAGTGATTGATTGCTGTGTAATAGAGAGAGAAGTAATTTTGAAATTTTTTTTGAGAAAATTTGTACCCAAACACACCCTCATTGCCAGCTAAATAGTACACAGATTATTTATCTGGGGACTAATAGTTCATTGCATTGTAATCCCCTTATCAATTCCATCCAAACAAACACCCCTAAGTGTTTCTTCATGTGGTCTTGAAAAAAACTAGTGGGCGTAAACCCCATGGAAAGGAATTTTAAAATTTTCCATATAGGACACTAGATGGCTAGATTTATGAAGGGAAAACTTGATTATTCACATTTGACAACAGCGAAAAAAATAAGAATCCCCATCACAATTTTGAGTATACCCTATTAATCAAGCAAAGCAAACAGGAATTAAGCAATTAAACAGGAATCCACTGAACTGAAAACGATAAACCGCAATGCTAACTTCAAATTCACCAAACAAGCACATGAATGCTTGAAATCAGTCCAAATCGAAGATCATCTCGCCCAATCAAACAACTTTATAGTGCACTCCTACTCAAGGATTTACATGCTAATTTCATACAATAATTGTTTTTTTTTAATCTTAATATCTTTTTTTAACAACTTCCAATTTCAACACTATTGGACAAATGTGTATATATATATATGTATATACATATATATATATATAGAGAGAGAGAGAGAGAGTACTTGTTGATCTGAGCGATGGCACCATCGAAGAAGATAATGGAAGTATCGTAGAGACCTTCAAGGGCGTACTCTCTAGCCAATTTGAGATGATCTTGCAAGCCCGCAAGCAACGTGTCCACCATTATAGAGATAACTCTAGGATTTCTTCAGAATCTGTGGCCTTTTTTTTACGAAAAATTAGGGTTTCAAACAAGTCAGAGCTCAGACATGGAAGTCGATGATGAAGATCTTTCTCTCTCCACAACACTTCTGTATCTCTCTCTCTCTCTCTCTCTCTCTCTCTCTCTAGGTTGCTGCTTGGACCAGTGAAGAAGACGGCGACGTTTAAACGGCAGAGAGATGGGAGGGAGAGAAGAGTACGGTTTTACTAGAATACCCTTGAGATTTCTTTGATATCATAGTTTAACTTCAATTTGTTGTTAGTTGTCGGATGTTGGAACCGTGGAGCCCAACATTGGGAAGCTACCAATCAGCGGTTGAGATTATCCAACCGGAAGGTTGGGCCACGTGGGAGCGGCTCAGGCCTTTACTTTTTTTTTTTTTTTGTGGTAAGATTTTCATGTTTATTGTGAAAAATAAATATTAAAAAAATAATGAGAGTACGTTATTTTATTTTATTTTATTTTATTTTTTTGAGTAAATGGGGTTTTTTTTGAGGGTATAGATTAGGTAAGGGTGTAAATTTAATTCGGTTCGATCTGATCAAGACCGTGCCAAAGATTGAGTCAAGCTAAGTTGGCTTAGTTTCAAAAACTTAGGCTCAAGCCCAAGTCCAAGAATAACCGGGTCTTGGGTGATCCTGTGGGCCAAGCATGGGTATGCGTTGGGTATGACATATTTTAATTTTTTTTTTCAAAATAGTTTGAAAATGACGTTGGGCCTCAAGTGGGTTGGGCATGGGCCTAGATTGGGCATGACATTTTTTTATTTTTTCTATCAAAATAGCTTGAAAATGACATTAGACCTCGGGTGAATCAGGCCTTAATCGGGTCAACGGGCTTGGTAAGATTTTCATGTTTATTGTGAAAAATAAATATTAAAAAAATAATGAGAGTACGTTATTTTATTTTATTTTATTTTATTTTTTTGAGTAAATGGGGTTTTTTTTGAGGGTATAGATTAGGTAAGGGTGTAAATTTAATTCGGTTCGGTTTGATCAAGACCGTGCCAAAGATTGAGTCAAGCTAAGTTGGCTTAGTTTCAAAAACTTAGGCTCAAGCCCAAGTCCAAGAATAATCGGGTCTTGGGTGATCCTGTGGGCCAAGCATGGGTATGCGTTGGGTATGACATATTTTAATTTTTTTTTTCAAAATAGTTTGAGAATGACGTTGGGCCTCAAGTGGGTTGGGCATGGGCCTAGATTGGGCATGACATTTTTTAATTTTTTCTATCAAAATAGCTTGAAAATGACATTAGACCTTGGGTGAATCAGGCCTTGATCGGGTCAACGGGCTAAGTCAGAAAAAACATAGTCCAAGCCCTAAACCGGAAGGGTCGGGCGGATTTTAGATCCTAATCTTAAGCTAGTTTGGATAAGAATACAATTTTTTACTTATACCAGAACTTGGATCCTTCAAATCTATTAAGATGGAGTGATTCTTTCAAATTTATGAAAGAATGTGTAAGCCTGCATACTATGAATTTAAAATTAATTTCCCCATTTATTAGTTATCTAAAATTTTCTCTTTTCCCTATTTAAAAAAAAAAATCTCAATATACCATGCAAAATAATTGTAAAGAAAATATAAAAACTAAAAAAATGTCAAAAAATTAAAAAGTCGCTAAAAATCTAAAAAAAAATATCAAAAAAATATCTTTTCTCTCTATTTTTTTCACCATTTTTTTTTGTAAAAAATCAAAAAATCATCCTAAACATACTAATTTTTTAATTCATATTTTAATTAAAAAGTTAAAAAAATTACTAAAATAATCTATTTTCAAACCAACTATCAACTTTAAAATTATCGATCTATCTATAAAAGTTAATCTTCTTCCAATTTATAAAAGAATAACGTTACATTTCATGAAAGAAATATCAAGAAAAGTTTCATTAAGATTTTCTACCCTTGGATTAATTTCTGGTGTTTTATTGTATGTTATGCATGTAAGACTAAATTTAATTATTTAGTCATTATCGTGATCCACATGATATAACTATAAATTATAGATTAATAAGATTATAATTTCATATTTTAGACCATAAGTTATTATCTGATTGGTCAATAGATAAGGTAGTTTCCAAGTTTTCGAGTGGAATAAAATTGAATAAGAAAGCTAGTCCTCTCTCTATCTATAAAAATATATTTGGATCACCTATCAATTACTCTGAATATAACGTATTCTAAAGAGGGTCAAGAGAGAGTAACATTTTTTCACTAATATTTATATTAGGTTTATATTCAATCAATTTTGGATCACTCAAAGGTTTCACATAATTTATTCAGGTGTGTTATTTATTTTTTACATTATGTTATTATTTGTAAAAATCATGATAGTTTAAGATTTTGAATTATGAAGGTTGTTATATACATAACACCATAAAAATTATTTACATGTGGTATCAGAGCAAGGTTAGAGAACATCATGGTTTTCATTAAATGTCATGACCTAAACCCGCCCCTAAAAGTTTGGATCATAACCAACCAGTAATCCGTACATTACCGAAAGCCTCAAACAATCATACAGAATATTTATGCTAATGGGGCCATAAACGGAAGCATATAATAAAGAGAAGTCTATTGAACTGTGCCAATCATGAGCAAAATCATAGAGTTAACCACGTAACACAATAATACATATACATGCCCATCAAAAATATAAGAGCCAGAGGAAAATTATACATAATGTTTACAACCCAAGACCATGAAAGCAAAAACATAATAGGATCAAAGTGTGGTGTGAGCCAAGACAAAACTCCGCCTCAGAGGCATGACTCGATTGGGTCCCAAAAGGCTCATGAAGCTGACTCTAGGGATGCGCTCCATATTGCTGATCACCTACATGTGCATACCTAAAATTGGGTGAGTGAAACTCAATAAGTAATAATACAGTAAAACAATATAAGTAGATGATCATAAGGTTCTCTCAATATCCATAATCATATAAACCAAACGGCCTTAGGCCCAAGCATATAACAAATGGCCTCGAGCCCAATCATAAGTCAAGCGACCTTAGGCCCAATCATAACCAGCGGCCTCGGGCCTAATCATATAACAAGCGGCCTCAAGCCTAATCATTCATCAAGCGGCCTCAGGCCCAATTATTTAAAAAGCAGCCTCGGGCCTAATTATTTAACAAGTGGCCTCAGGCCCAATCATTTAACAAGCGGCCTCGGGCCCAATCATTTATCAAGGGGCGTCAGGCCCAATCATTTAGCACATGTCATATAATATCAATGAAGTTTCATCATTTCCAATCAATTCATAATGTTGGCACCAATCACTGTTCATGGTTCAAGATACGCAACAAAGAGTATAAGTGTACTATATTATTACTCGCAGTGCGTTTAGTCTTGAGGCGTTGCCTCCGGCACTCGACCTACACAAAACATGTCACATACACATCCGATAAATCATTTGTTTCAATTCGTACACTTTTTCTTTAATTTCTCTTAAGTGTTCAATGCTAATCTTCTCTACATGTGAACCGCGTACAAAGCATGTTCCAAAGATGTACCTTAAACGGCCCTAAATGTTCATGACTTAAATCAATGTTTCCTACAATAATTTCATATGTTTTTCATTGAACATATCATGTTTACTTATTTAAGATTTAAGGAAATATCAAGAAGAGAAAGGAAACCAAGTTAGGATAGGAATTGGCATGAAACGGTTAAAAGAAAATAAACAGCCTTCACTAATTTGAATACATCTATTTGTGTACTTAGAATTTGGATGTGAAACGACCACTATTAGAAACTAGACTTCTAGGGCTTGAATTTAGGCTCAAGAATCGCTTAAAACGGAGTCCGGATGAAGGAGATATACTTTTTTGAAGTTAGGCTGAAACAGGGATTCCGCACGAGTAGAAGTCTTCACCGCACGTGCGGCCCAAATCCGCTCGAGCGAAAAACCGGCCGCTTGAGCGCCCAAGGAGGATAATGAAAACCTATTTTTTTCTTCATGTTCTGCTAGTGCGGTGCCCGTGGCCGCTCGTGCGGTCTAGGCAAAATCAAACAGTTCGAAAATGGTTCAAAGATGCAAACTTCCTAAACTCATTTCAAAGCCCAAATTCATGTAAAAACAACTCAAAAACATGATATATAAGTATGATACAAGTGTAATTCCATATTAAACATATCAACCGTGCATTAGCAACAAATTCATGTACTAATCTCTTTCCTATATTCATACATTACATAAACAAATTCAAAATACATGATTCGTAAGCAATTTTCAACAAATCTTGTTTTCATGAATTATCTAAGGTTTGTTTCATGGGTCAATCACAAAAGTGAACTTAAATCAAACAAAGATGGAGAGATTATGGTTCAATTTCATGCCTATAGTTCAAACCACCATACAACTCAAAGCCCTAGCTCAATCCCTAATTTCTTCTTGATTTTCTTGACAAAGATGAGTTAGAATCAAAGTTTGTGAGTAATTTTCCATACCTTAGTTCAAATCTATGGTTTGCCCCTTGACTTCCTTCAAATCCCTAGCTTCCTCCTCTTCTTCTCTCTCTAACTCACACTCTAGGCTCTCAAGCAAGAAGAACAAAGGCTAAACATACATATATGACTTAACTCACAAAACATTATTTAATCATTACGAATCGTAATTTTTTAAAATTTTACCATGAGCTCTATAAATCATACTAATCACAGATATGAAGTCGGTTTTTGTTTATCGCACCTCTAAGGCCTTCAATTTCTGTTCAAAGTTTCAATTTCAATAGATATTCTTCCAAATTCACATATTTCCCATACTTAAGCTTGCAAATTCTTATTAAACACATAATCACATACATAATTAAACATAGTATGGGTTGGATTATCATATTAAATAAAATTAATGATTTTAATTTATGTCCGTCATTGATTGTTTATATATTATTAATTGTGAGACATGATTTGAACGGATTACGACTTCAAAATTGTGCTTAAGTTGATTACGATTTTATGGTGTGTATATATCTATCTTCTATGAATAATATTTATGAATCTACAATGCACACTTTATGATTACACCTATTATTTTGATAAAGTTATGTTCTCCGTCAGTTTGTGGAACACTTTTGATTGATGACCCATCCATGATCATCTATATTGGTGGTAAAGATTATGTTGAATTATTAT